AAAGAAGATACATGAATAGCCAAAAAGCACACAGAAAGATGTTCAAGGCCAAGCCTGCAATCCCAGCACTTTGGGAGGCCTAGGCGGTTGGATCACCTGAGGTCAGGAGTTTAAGACCAGCCTAGCTAACATGGTGAAATCCCGTCTCTACTAAAAATACAAAAATTAACCGGGCACAGTGGCGCACATCTGTAGTCCCAGCTACTTGGGAAGCTGAGGCAGGAGAATTGCTTGAACCCAGGAGGCAGAGGTTGCAGTGAGCCAACATGGTGCCACTGCACTCCAGCCTGGGCGACAGAGGGCAACAGAGCGAGATTCCGTCTCAAAAAAAAAAAAAAAGGAACAAGAGATGTTTAATCATTAGCTATTAGGGAAAATATGAATAAAAACGACCATGGAATATCACTTTATATCCACTAACATGGCTATTATAAGATGCAAACAAAAACAAAATAAGCGTTGATGAGAATATGGAGAAATTGAAACCCTTGTGTATTACTGGTAGGAACATAAAACGGTACAGCCATTATGGAGAAGTTTGGCATTTTCAAATTGTTAAACTAGAATTATCGGCCAGGCTTGGTGGCTCACACTTGTAATCCCAGCACCATGGGAGGCCGAGGTGGGCAGATCACTTGAAGTCACGAGTTTGAGATCAGCTGGCCAATATGGCGAAACTTTGTCTCTACTAAAAGTACAAAAATTGGTGAGGTGTGGTGGTGTGTGCCTGTAGTCCCAGCTACTTGGGTGACTGAGGCAGGAGAATCGCTTGAACCCATGAAATAGAGGTTGCAGTGAGCCAAGATCACGCCACTGCACTCCAGCCTGGGTGACAGAGCAAGACTCTGTCTCAAATAAAAACAATCAACAACAACAACAACAAAATGAAAACATAGAATTACGGTATGATCCAGCATTCCACTTCTGAATGTATACCTCAAAGAATTGAAAGCAGAGACACAAACAGAAACTTGTATATCAATGTTCATAACAGCATAATTCACAATAACTAAAAGGTGAAAACAACCCAAGTATCCATCAACAGATAATGGAGAAGCAAACTGTGGAATATACAGGCATGGAATATTATTCAATCTTTTTTTTTTTTTTTTTGACGGAGTCTCCTCTGTCACCAGGCTGGAGTGCAGTGGTGCAATCTCGGCTCATGCAACCTCCTCCTCCTGGGTTCAAGCAATTCTCCTGCCTCAGCCTCCTGAGTACCTAGGATTACAGGTGGGCACCACCATGCCCAGCTAATTTTTGTATTTTTTTTAGAAACGGGGTTTCATCATGTTGGCCAGGATGGTCTCAATCTCTTGACCTCACAATCTGCCTGCCTTGGCCTCCCAAAGTGTTGGGATTACAGGTGTGAGGGAGGCACTGTGCCCAGCCTATTCAATCTTAAAGAAGAGGAGGCTGAGGTGGGAGGATCGCTTGAACCCAGGAGTTTGACACCAGCCTGGGAAACAAAATGAGACCCTGTCCCTACTCCCTACACAGATTTGTTTTGAAAAATTAGCTGAGCGTGGTGGAATGCACCTGTAGTCCAGATACTTGGGAGGCTGAGAGTGGAGGATCCCTGGAGCCCAAAAGTTTAAGGTTGCAGTGAGCTATCATCACACCACTGCACTCCAACCTGGGTGACAGAGACTGTCTCAAAACAAAAAAGAAGATACATGGTATAACATAAATGAGCCTTGAAAATACTATGCTAAGTAAAATAAGCCAGACACAAAAGGACAAATATTACACAATTCTACTTAAATGAGGTACCTAGAATAGGTAAATTCATAGAGACAGAAAGTAGAATACAGGTTACCAAGAGCTGAGGGAGTGGGGGTCAGGGAATGAGCCGTTATTGTTTTATAGGTACAGAGTTTTAGTTTGGGATGATGAGAAAGTTCTGGAAATTGATAGTGGTGATGGTTGCACAACATTGTGAACATGGCACAACAGTGTGAAAATACTTAATGCCACTAAATTATACACTTAAAATAGCTACAATGGGCCACACATGGTGGATTATGCCTGTAATCCCAGCACTTTGGGTGGCTGAGGCAGGTGGACTGTTCGAGGTCAGGAGTTTGAGTCCAACCTGGGCAATATGGTGAAACCCTGTCTCTATGAACAACAACAAAAAGCTAAAATGGTAAATTTTACGTTATGTTTATACACACACACACACACACACACACACACACATATTTTTTTGAGATGGAGTCTCACTCTGTCGCCTAGGCTGGAGTGCAGTGGGTGTGATCTTGGCTCACTGCAACCTCTGCCTCCTGGGTTCAAGAGATTCTCCTGCCTCAGTCTCCGGAGTAGCTGGGATTACAGGCACCCGCCACCATGCTCAGCTAAATTTTGTATTTTCAGTAGAGACAAACTTTCGCCACATTGGCCAGGCTGCTCTCAAACCCATGACCTCAAGTGATCATCCAGCTCGGCCTCCCAAAGTGCTGGGATTACAGGCGTGAGCCACTGCGCCTGGCCCTGTTATGTATATTTTACCTCAATTTGTAAAATGTGCTAGATACCTAGGAAATAGAGTAAGACATATAATATGTAAACTTAAAATATGTGCCTATACCGGGGCCTATTATGGGGGGGGGATGGCATTGGGAGTTATACCTGATGTAAATAACGAGTTGATGGGTGCTGATGAGTTGATGGGTGCAGCACACCAACATGGCACAAGTATACATATGTAACAAACCTGCACGTTGTGCACATGTACCCTAGAACTTAAAGTATAATAAAAAAAGTGCCTATAAAACAATATTTATATTGTAAGAACATACAAATAAATTATTAGAATGAGAACTCAAATTCTAAAACTGACCTAACGGTGCAATACAGTTTCAATCAGTATCCTAACAGTGTCATTTTATGGAGCAAGCTGATTCTAAATTTTATATGGAAATGCAAAAGTTCAAACATAATAACTAATATTCTTGAAAACAAGATGAAAGCATTTGATCTATTAGGTATTAAGATATAAAATAATAATAATGTAATAAAATCATAATTAAGATGGTGCTATCAAGGCATCATAACTAAGATAATACAAGGAATGACAATTAAACTAATAGAATATAGTAGCCCAGAAACAGACCTACATGTAAATAGTTTATTTACAATAAAAATGGCATTGAATAGCAGTGAAGAAATTATGGTCTTTTCAATAACTAATGGTGGGACAACTTGATAGCCATTTAGAAGAAAAAGAAACTTCCTCACTACTGAATAACAACATAAATTCCAGATCTATCTTCTGGAAACTAGGTTTGAGAGGTAATATATGGGAGATGAAAAATATCTCCTTGTTTAAGAGGACAACATATGGGCAATATCTCTCAATAATGCCCATATATTATAGTGTCTTCTTACACAGTACATAAAAAAAATAGGAAATACTGATGGGTTTAACCATATTAAAATTAAGACTGTTGTTTTCCTAAGTTTACCAAACCTAAGCTATTCACAACCCTTTCTCAGTCTCTACTAGTTCCCTACTTTGAAAGACCCATTTTAAACCAGTTAGATCCTTATCTCAAATCCTTATAAATACCTTACTCTAACATCCTCCCTTTGATTCATTACCAAGACTTTGTGTCAAGTTGATGGTCTCCTTTGCTACGCTACAATAGGTTTAATGAGCTTTGTTTAGTCAACAGGATTCCTTAGTGACCTTTGTTGTGGGAGAGTGGACAACTGACAGTCCTTATCTTTCTGAGAAATATACTGAAATCTTTAAAAAAAAGTTGGTAGAGATGGGGTCTTGCTATGTTACCCAGGCTGGTTTTGAACTACCAGCCTCAAGCTATCCTCCTGCCTCAGCCTCCCAAAGTGCTGAGATTAGAAGGTGTGAGTCACTGTGCCCAGTCAGTATATCAAGATTTTTTTTTTCTTTTTTTTGAGATGGAGTTTCACTCTTGTCACACAGGCTGGAGTGCAATGGTACCATCTTAGCTCACTGCAAACTCTGCCCCCTGGGTTCAAGCGATTCTCCTGCCTCAGCCTCCCAAGTAGCTGGAATTACAGGTGCCCACCACCAAGGCCGGCTAATTTTTGTATTTTTAGAAGACAGAGTTTCATCACGTTGGCCAGGCTGGTCTTGAACTCCTGACCTCAGGTGATCCACCCACCTCAGCCTCCCAAAGTGCTGGGGTTACAGGTGTGAGCTACTGCACCCAGCCCACCAAGATTTTTATAGATTAAATTCTAAGATCTGCTCCAAAATTAATTCAATAAGATAAAGTAGAAGTAGGTAAGATTAGTCATAAATAGTTGATACTGGGTAATGATACATGGGAGTTCATTAGACTAATCTGTCTACTTTTGTTTTATGTTTTAAATTCTCTACAATAATTTTTTAAAGTTATGTTTGTTTTTGTAGTCCTCAAGAGCGGATGTTCACTAAGGTCACAGCAAAGTTGCACTATATGACTCTGATTACCTGGCTTTACCCAGAAAGCGTCTAGCCAAACCTAGCCTAAGTTATGCTGGATTCTGTAGTCTTGCTACAATGACAGAAGGAAGGGAAGGCCAGAGTGGCTGTAGACTTTAGATAAATAATTCTTTATTTATTATTATTATTTTTTGAGATAGAGTCTCGCTCTGTCGCCCAGGCTAGAGTGCAGTGGCATGATCTCAGCTCACCGTAACCTCCACCTCCCAGGTTCAAGCGATTCCCCTGCCTCAGCCTCCTGAGTAACTGGGATTACAGGCGTGAGCCACCACGCTCGGCTAATTTTTGTGTTTTTGGTAGGGACAGTGTTTCACCATGTTGGTCAGGCTGGTCTCGAACTCCTAACCACAAGTGATCCACTCGCCTCAGCCTCCCAAAGTGCTGGGATTACAGGCATGAGCCACCACACTCAGCCCAAAATAATTCTTTTTAAGACCCTTCTACAACACCCCAAATGTAGAACTGAGTTGCTATATTAAATTTGATGTTTAAATCCTGGTTAAAACAACAACAAAAAAGGGATAAAGAATATTTTCTGTGTTTTTTGCTTTATTTATTCAGAGAATCAAACTGTGCTACAGTGAGCTAAATTTTTAGCTGTGCTTAGAATGTGCTCCCTTCTACTTTTTACTGTGGAAAAGTGAAGTATCTTATCATTTCTTAGAAACCTGGATGCTGAAATTAGTCAATATTAAGATATTATACACATCCTGAGTGATGCCTGATTTAAGATTTTGCATAGCTATTCATGTAAGTTGACTTTTCTGTGCATTTGTATCGGGGAGGATCCAGTTCAGGTTGATGTCCTGGGAACCAGTGAGGCTCTCGCTTAAATCCTGAGGGAACCAAAAAAGGGAAGGGAAGACAAATGAAAACAGTCAACAATAAGGAGTTTTAGAAACTGATCTTGCTCCTATTTCTAGGGAAAAGACAGTAAGTTCTGTTAAAATTGAAGAAAAAACCTGTTTACTCATTCATTTATTCACTTTTTTTTTTTTTTTTTTTTTTTGAGACGGTGTTTCACTCTGTCACTCAGGCAGGAGGGCAGTGGCTTGATTTCTGCTCACTGAAACCTCTACCTCTCAGGTTCAAGTGATTCTCCTGCCTCAGCCTCATGAGTAGCTGGGACTACAGGCATGAGCCACCACACCCAGCTAATTTTTGTATTTTTTAAGTAGAGATGGGGTGTCACCATGCTGGCCAGGCTGGTCTCGAACTCCTGACCTCAAGTGATCTGCCTGCCTCAGCCTCACAACGTGCTGGGGGTTACGTGTGTGAGCCACTGTGCCCAGCCTCACTTATTCACCTATTCAATTTACTTTTATTTGAGTTCCTTCTATGTGCCAGTCACCGAGGGGTTCTGAAAATGTAAGAATTAGAAAAAACAGTACACGTACTATGCGTTGAAAGTGGCATTTTGTTGTTGTAGCTTGTATCATATGTTGTTTCAAAGTAGTGTCCAAACTGGAAAGAAAAATTAACAGACTAAGAATCTGGAAGTCTACAGTTAACATCAGGAAATAAAGATCAATATGACATGAATTCTCATGGACTGCCATATTTTAGATGGACTGAGGTCTATGGTGTTAGTCTATATCCGTCTAACTTTCATATCTTTTGTATGTTTGTTTGTTTAGGAGAGATATAAGCACAAGACTCAGATAAATGACAAGTCTAGATAGGCAAGGACCAGGGGAAAAGCTAGCCTAAGTCAGAAGACGTTATAAATTTCCGTAGATGAAGAGATACAGTCCAAACAGAAGAAAGAGAAAAAGAGGACTGCCTGTCCTTTTGAAACCTTACAGATAATAAAATATTCAACTTGACAGTAAAGTGGCATAGGTGGTTCAGCTGCAGACTGTTCCTCTGTCCCAAACACTTCACTGAAAATTGAGATATCACTGCACTGGAAGTTATTACATACTTGCATTTCAAATGGCCACTGCATTTCTTTTGCCAAAAGGAAACAAACAAAAAAGAGAAAGTTAGAGTACCTGGGAAGGCAAGGGTTTGGGCTGCACGATATTCCTCAGGTCATATCTTTCCTGGTTCCAGTTGCCCATCAGGGTATGGTTCGAATAGGCATTCTCATTAGTGGTGCATCTCCATCCATACTGGAAAAACTTGGACATATTATTCCAATCTGTCCACACTTCACCATGGCCATCTGCATTAATGATGCTGCCACAATGTGGGTTTGTGAGGAAACAGGCGAGGTTCTGTCTCTGGGAAAAGACAAGAATAGAAAAGCTTATTGCATAAACCAGAGAAGAGAGAAAGCATCCTTTCCCGCCCTTGTTTTACATAGCCAGGTAAAACATAAGCACACTATACTAATGATCCAAGCTTTTGTTATAGTTCTCTTTCTTCCTCTCTAAGTCCTGGAACCCTTTGATCTATTCTCTCAATCAGCAACAGTGGATGACTACATGGATTAAATTCACACCCCTGCACCCCAGGCCCCGTGAAAAGACAGGAAAAACTTCAGTATTCCCAATACAATATGGAGAATTAGCTAAATTTTTAGGTAATTTTGAGATGTAGGCATTTAGGGACTAAGGGCACTGCTACAGTCAAAGAGAATAGAAAGAAGTGAGAGTTGAATAACTAGATAACACAATAAATGAGTAATAAATGATCATTTCCTTCCTGCTAGCTCAAGTGATGCCTTCCCTGAAGTTAGCACCTTTCCTTTTATCTCACATAAAACTTTATCTTCTTATCTTTCCCTGTATTTATAACTTTCTACCATACATTAGAGTTCTTTAAGTCTGCATTATATCTCTTATACTGACTGAGCTGTATGCCCCTTAAGAACAGGATCTGTTTGATTCATTATTGTACCCTGTCCTTCTGCCTATTCTCCCAATCAATCTGGTTTGCATATACCAGATGATCAATGTCTGATTTCATTTTTTTTTTTTTTTTTGTAAGGTAGAAGCTCAATCTTTCTTTTTTCCCCAAAATGTGAGTCTGGCCCCCTGGCTTAGGAACAAGGTGATACCTTTCCTGAAGAAGAGTAACTTGATGCTGAGTAGGTTGAGCCGTTTGAAGATTTCTTATGAGAGTGACAGAAATCTTTACTTGGCTGTTCCATGTTCTTTAAAGATGCAGACAAACCTGACTTTCCCAGTTCTCCAAGCAAAGAAAGATTCACCCAGATTACCATGGGCAAGTGGCCATGATTTGGAAGTCACCACCCACTTGCCTTTCCACAGGCAGAAACAAAGCCAATAACGCATCATTGAAGGATGACATCCCAGGTAACTACCCTCATACCATCTGCCTTTGTGAAGACAGGTGCATGTACTGATGTTACCAAACAACATGATGACCAGAGTAGCTGGTCCCATGAAGTCCAACGGGCCTGGTATTCATACTGGAGATCTAGGTGTAACTGTCTCTAGGGCTGGAATGACAGACATCCCATCCACTCAGTTGTTCAAACCAGAAGCCTGGGGCTTATCTTTGACGCTGACTTGTCTTTAATATTCATCCAGTCACTAGGTCTTGTTGATTTTTGAATCAGACCGCTACCCTCCATTCCCACTGCCAAATTTCAATTCAAATCACTGTCAGCTTTGTCTCCATTATTGCAGCTGCCTCTTGTCTTATCCTGCCATCAGCCTTGTTCCTCTCCAAACCTTTCTCCACACGAAAGCAGAATTTTTCAAAATGAAAGTATAATTGTATCATCTTCTCATTTAAAATCTTTCAGTGGTTTTCAACTGTTTTCAGAGTAAGGTTCAGCCTGTTAAAATGGCTTACAACAGAACAGAGAACCAAATACAGCATGTTCTTGTTACCAGAAGGGGTCCTGATCCAGACCCCAAGAGACACAAGAGAGAACTTAAGGTGAGTCTATAAAGCATAAGGAAGTTTATTAAGAAAGTAAAGGAATAAAGAATGGCTACTCCATATGCAGAGCAGCCCTGAGGGCAGCTGGTTGCCCATTTTTAAGATTGTTGATTATATGCTAAACAAGGGGTGGATTAATTCACACCTCCCCTTTTTAGACCATATAGGGTAACTTCCTGACGTTTCCATGGCATTTTTAAACTGGCATGGCACTGGTGGGAGTGTAGCAGTGAGGATGAACAGAGGTCAGTCTCATCGCCATCTTGGTTTTGGTGGATTTTAGCTGGCTTCTTCACCTGTTTTATCAGTAAGGTGTTTATGACCTGTATCTTGTGCTGAGCTATCTCATCCTGTGACTAAGAATGCCTTAACTTACTGGGAACGCAGCCCAGGTCTTAGCCTTATTTACCTAGCCCCAATTCAAGATGGAGTTGCTCTGTTATAAATACCTCTGACAATCTCACTTATAAGTGGGACCTAAACATGGAAACAACAGATGCTGCAGACTACTAACTAAAGTGGGGAGGGGGGTGGTGTGGGTTGAAAAACTATTAGGTGCCATATACCCATATAACAAACCTGCAACCTACCTGGGTGCAATATATCCACGTAACAAACTTGTACATGTACCCCCATATAAAAATAAAAGTTGATTTTTTTTAAAAGGCTTACAACGCTCCCTGTGACCTGGCCCCTGCCTAACTCTTCAGTCTCATCTGTTACTCTCCCTCCAACTGTGTTTCAGCCCAATTCAACTATTCTGTTTCTCCATCAAGCTTTTGCATATATTGCTCTTTCTGCCTCTTCACGCCTCTTAACCCAGTTAGGATGTACTTTTACCCTCTTAGCTTTCAACTCGGGTTCACTTCATCCAAGGACTCTGACCCACTTCGCCCAAAAACTTGGTAACGTTCTCCTTCTGTGTGCTCCCATTGCACACTGAATCACTCCACGCATAGCACACACCCTGCCATATCAGAGTTGCCTCTTTTGCTCTGTGCATTCCCCACCAGACTGCAGGCTCATTGAAATCACAGGCCACATCTTGTTCATCCATATATCGTAACCACTCTCACAGTGGCCTGGCACGCAACAGACCTCAATAATCTTTCTTGAATGAATAGAAGATAGGAGATTTAAGCACCTGGAGGAGAAATTTTGAGCAGCAGAGACACTGGGAGGCAGCCATTTCGGACGAGGTGAAAAAAGTTTCAAAACCTTCTGCGTCAAGAGCATGCGAGACACACAGTCCAACCTCTCCTTGGCCTCAGCCCCGCCCCGTTTCTTTCACTCAGAACTCGCCTCACCCCTGTGACTGCTTGTGACCTCATGCAGGTGTGATGAAGTCGCTCAAGGCCATGCTTGGGCTAAAGGCACTATGATCTTCCCGAGGGGCTGAAAGGGCGAGGGGACAGGAAAGTGGGCGTCTTGCTTTTGCATTCATAGTTATTATCCTCCCAACGAGTCTGTGCACCCGTTCGTCTAGACAACTGGGCGCCAAGTGTGCCTCATCAACTAGCGACGAGTGAAGAGGGGGCGGGCGGAGATCCGCGAAGGAAGTGACGTAAAACGAGCGCCACAGAGAACGCGAGCCGTGAGTCCGTGGAGGCCATGGCCCCTCGGCGCCTCCTGTTGGTTGGGGAGGGGAATTTCTCCTTCGCCGCCGCTCTGAGCGAAACCCTGGATCAGAACACTCGTCTTACCGCCACCTGCCTCCAGCGCCCGGCCGAGTTGACCCGGGATCCAGTGGCCCGGGAGAATCTGCGGTACCTGCGCGAGCGAGGTAGCGAGCCCGCCCCTCTGCGAAGCCCCGCCCAGCGGCTGGCGCGTCCCAAAGTGGAAAGGGTGGGGGCGTGGGGATGTAACCCACGTGGAGACTGTTCTTTTTTTTTTTTTTGAGACGGAGTCTTGCTCTGTCACCCAGGCTGGAGTGCAGTGGCCAGATCTCAGCTCACTGCAAGCTCCGCCGTGGAGACTGTTCTTGATCGTCCCACGGATATTCACATAAAGCCGGTTTTGTGCCCAGACTTGGGCTGGTCTGCACGGTGTAAGTTAGGAAGAGTTTTTCTGTTCCATGTCTTAAGGCGTCCTCCTATCTCTATTTTGCGCCCCTAAACTATCTTTGCCAGGTATTGATGTACGTTTCGGTGTGGACTGCACCCAGTTGGCAGATGTCTTTGAACTGCACGACAGAGAATTTAATCAAATTTATTTCAACTTTCCGCATTGTGGACGCAAAGCTGGCGTAGCTAAGAACAGGGAACTGCTTGCCAAGTTTTTCCAAAGGTGAGGAAAGGAGTGCCCTCACAAGGAAAATGTTTAAGATGTCCATAACATAGTTATTGTACCCAAACATAAGGCACACGTGCAAGCTACTATATGTTTAGAAGAGAACATAAAACCTCAAAGGAACCCCCAATTTAGTTGGAAAAACATATATAAATCCTAAATGCTAAATGAAAGTACAAATAGTGTACTCTTGGGTGTGTAAAAGAGGATCATTTATTTTTGACAGTGCAAAATAATGAGAGCCATATAGTCTAATGGCTAAGAACGTTCACTTAGAAGCCGGACTGCCTGGATTCAAATCCCAGCCCACCACTTAACAGTTGTTATTTTTTTATTTTTATTTTTTTTGAGACAGAGTCTCACTCTGTCGCCCAGGCGGGAGTGCACTGGCGCAGTCTCGGCTCACTGCAAGCTCCGCCCCCATTCTCCTGCCTTAAGCTGGCCAACAGTTGTTATTTTAAGCAAGCTTACTGAATCTTTACATGCTTCCGTGTTCTCAAGTGTAACTAGGGATATTAATAGTAACTAATTGGGCCAGGCGCGGTGGCTCACGCCTGTAATCCCAGCAGTTTGGGAGGCCGAGGTGAGCAGATCACCTGAGGTCAGGAGATCGAGACCATCCTGGCTACCACGGTGAAACCTGTCTCCACTAAAAATACAAAAAATTAGCCAGGTATGGCGGCATGCGCCTGTAATCACGGCTAGTTGGGAGGCTGAGGCAGGAGAATCACTTGAACTTGGGAAGTGGAGGTTGCAGTGAGCTGAGATTGTGCCACTGCACTCCAGCCTGGGCAACACAGCAAGACTCCATCTCAAAAAAAAAAAGTAACAGCCTCATGAAATTATTGTGAACTGAAAACAATGCTCTACATTATTATACCACAAGTCATGATACTATTGCAGGTGTCCGAAGGGGCACAGCTGTCAATAAACTTTTGACAGAGGCAGTATTTTAAACTAGTATTTGAATTTCAGGAGGGCAATGAAAAGAACTTTCTAAATGGGAAGAAACAGCCTAAGCAGTGAATCATATATAGAAACTGTGCAGATATTGACCTTTCTGTGACATATGCATGAACAACACAAATGCAAAGCAGACCCTGGTCAACCAATAGTATCAGTTAGTGGGTTGAACATTTAATTTACATTTGTATTTACTTCCAGCTACTTTCTTTGCATTTTTTGAGGTCTAATAGATTTTTGCACATAGGTATGATTGGATTTTAATTATTTCACAGGCAAACCATGTGTATGTTGCCAACTCCTGTGGTAATTTCCACTTGTTTATGATAATTAGTTAGTGTTTCTTTTCTCCCTATTAGCTGTGCAGACGTTCTTGCAGAGAAAGGAGAAGTCCACGTGGCATTATGTAGAGGACAAGGTGGAACTCCTGCGGATAAGCCCCAGAGAGAATGGCACAACAGTTGGCAAGTGGTTGCCATGGCAGCCCTGGGGGGACTCATTTTAAGTGATGTATATCCATTCAGCTGTAAGGCTGTGCCAGGGTACAAGTGCACTGGATATAGGTAGGTAATAGCATAGGTCTAAACCTTCTGCTTTTTCATCTCTCTCACTAATGATAACAAAATCTCATAAACAGACTCATAGACCCTGCTAATTAACTGATTCAGTCTGTAAAAATACTTGCTTATTTTAATAATGACAGATTTCATATTGGTGTCTATTTTGCCAGGAGTCAAGATAAGTCCTTTCATGTAGAAGGTGCTTTGAACCATGTCTTCACCAGGAGCTTACCTTTCGAAGTTTCTCAACCCAGAATCTTCAGGATCAAAGTGGGTAACCAGTGGTTTTCCTTTCCAGAACCAGAAGCACTTGTAGGAAAGTTAAACAGGTAACCAGTTATTTTGCTGGAAATCACTTCCATCTCCAGTTGTATCCTGATTGTCTTGATGGCAACCATATATTGAATGGATGGTACATAAATTGTTAGTGACGTGGGTGCTATGTTTATTTGTCAGCCTGGCCTCCTTAAGCGTCTCTAGAATTAAAAATGGTCACATTTTCTGATATATTGCAGGGATGGTGGCTGTCAGAGTTCTGAAATACACCTCTTTCTCCTTATGGTAGATGATTTCTTTGTTTCCTTTCAAGATCAATTTAAGGGTAATTCTTTTCTGTCCAGCTATTTGTATTTTTAATTCTAGCTACATTATAATTATTTACTATCTTAAGTTAGAAAAGTTATTTTTGTGTATGTTTAAACAGGGGTTTCCTGGAAGCACCTTCATGTCATCCTATCAAAACCATAAATGAGAAACTCATTGCTGAATTAGGCAAAGCTTTCCCTCTAAAAAGGCTGAAGTGTTCCTTCCCTTTGCTGCCACAGGAAGATGCCAGTGTTCTTCCTTTCTGGAATTGTGACTTTCTATCAGCTGCTTTTTGGATTAGTCTCCATGAGGATAACTCAAATTCTGAGTCCCTGACTGGTGGGACATCACAAGATGTGGAAGACTTTCTAGTGTCATTTTCAGAACTTAGCCTTCCCAAGAATCCTGGAAGAGACGGTAAAGAAGAAGCTTGTGAAGGAACCTATGGCCAGGCCAAGGTCTGCCTTAGACCTTCTCTCCTAGTGCATGTTCAGGATGTCATCGAAGTACCAGACTTCCTCTCAGGTTCTCTGCACATCCTCAGTGGACCTGTCTTTCAGAAGTGCCACATTCTGCCTTTCACAATGCCAGCATTTCATGAGACTTTATTTATCCTTGGGTTTAACCAAAATCTCAAGGATGGCTGTCTTCAATCACTGCTGGATCATCTGAAAGGCATTCTAGATAGCCTGCTAACCCAGACATTGCTGGAGAGCTCTAAGCTGAGCAGTTTAGTCGAATTTGTCCTTCAATCAAATGGAAAGGATTATATGATTCGTGTGAAGACTCACAATTTTAGCCCAGATTGTACTGAGGATCTAATTATTGGGTCTGTTACCACATCTGCCACTAGTGTTATACATAAAGACCAGTGTTTTGTGTTTGTGTCTATGAACTTGGACTTACTAGCCATGCTTGTCTGGTGTATCTCTGACTGGAGAATGTTGTGGACTTTTGATAACCGTTTCCTGAAAAATTTTGTCCCTGGGAAAATAGAACCCTTCAAAAGTCATTCTCTGTATCCTCCATGTTATGTGCATGATATTAGTTTTTGGATAGATGAGAAGAAAGGATTTGATGAACTAGAGTTTCACACTGTGGCCCGAGCAGTGTCCCAGGACACTGTTATATCCATACAGTTTCTTAGCCGTTTTCAACATCCAAAGACTCAACAGGTCAGTCTCTGCTATAGATTGACCTACCAGACCTGTGACAAGGCCCTCACCCAGCAGCAAGTAGCATCAATGCAGTCCCAGTTTAGGAAGGAGATTCAACAACGCCTATATGTTATACCTCGGTAGTTTAGTAAATCCTTTTCCGCAGTGTGATCCTTCATTGCGGGAGATGTGGAGGAAAATAACCAACTTGTAACCAGTAGTCCTTTCTGGATTTTTTTTTTGTAAAATCTTTCACTTTGTGACCATAGCTACTGTTTGTTGATCTTTTTTTTTTTTGAGACAGAGTCTTGCTGTGTTGCCCAGGCGGGAGTGCAGTGGCAGTGGCGCGATCTCGGCTCACTACAGGCTCCACCTCCCAGGTTCATGCCATTCTCCTGCCTCAGCCTCCTGAGTAGCTGGGACTATAGGCGCCCGCCACCACGCTGGCTAATTTTGTTGTTGTTGTTGTATTTTTAGTAGAGAAGGGGTTTCACCATGTTAGCCAGGATGGTCTCGATCTCCTGGCCTCGTGATCCACCCACCTCGGCCTCCCAAAGTGCTGGGATTATAGGTGTGAGCCACCGTGCCCGGCCTCCTGTTGGTTGATCTTAAAAGATACCTTGACTCTATCACTGAAACTTATAGATTATAATGTGATTGGTGACATTTGGAGTTGTGTAATATTTTGGTCCTGAGAAGTGACTAAAACAATAAACAAAACAGCATATTGTACTTTAGATGCTCTGTTGCTGAAGAGGCAGTAGAACTTAGGTGTCTCATCAAATATAAGTATGTTTTCCACACTGTCAATTACTCTTCCCTTAACTTTGTTGTATCATTTCATTAAATCACCTTATGAGAGTAGTTTTTGGAGTCAGACTAACATGTATTAGCTTGGTAAGTTGCAAATATTCCACATTAGTTTTGGTATTATTATTATCATCATCAACATTTTAATTCTGTGGTTGAAAGCCGTAGAACTAATAAAGTGCCAGATTTAGGGTTAACATTTGGGTCTGTTTGACTCTAAAGCCCATGTTCTTTCTGCCACTTTCTGTTACTTCTTCCCTAGTCTTTAACAGTAATTCAACTGTGATTAAACTTTGCCTCTCTAGATTTTGGGGCCTTCTATTGTAAGTATCTCTAAGGGACACTGGAAAATTAACTTAGCCTAGGATTCTGCAGAATGCAGCATTCTAATGTGAAGTAATGTATGTTCTTGTTAATAGTTAGACTCCACATTTGGGATTATATTCTGTGAGGGACATGACTGTCTTATTTATTCTTGGAGAAAAGCATTTGGGAAGGCAAGAATGGAAGAACAGAGACAAATTAGGAGGTTATTGCAGTAATGCAAACGAGATAATGATGACCTGGACCAAGGTGGTAAAATGTTGGGTTGGATAATATTTGGAAGGACTTGCTGATGAATTAAACGTTCGTGTGTGGGTGAGAGAGGTTTGGGGTTAGAGAAATAAAGGGATTAAGTAGGACTCCTAGGTTTTTGACCTGAATACTTAGAAGACTGGAAGTATCATTAACTGGGATGGAAACACTGCCATAGGAGTAAGTTTGGGGAGTGGGATAAAGAATCAAGGGATCTCTTATGGACGCATCTATTGCTGAGCTCTCCACATAGACTATTTTGCTAATTGATGGCAGGTAATGTGATTTATCCCTTTCTTCTATCCTCAATAGTGCTTGGTATGTGGATGAGGTAGTGTTTGAGCTGGATCTTAAAAAAGGTTAGGAATGTGAAGGGAGAATTGTTAGTCAAGTAGGGTGTGCATTTCAGGCAGAGGACATCCATGAACAGAGATATAGATAAGGGAGCATTTGGGGGCACTTTCTAGGCTAGTTAGCTGGAACGTAAAGTGTGCATAGGAAAATAGTGGGTTTCTACTACTAAGTAGGTTTGTACTAAGGTTTGTACTTAGGTTTGTACTAAGTTTAAAAAGGATAAAATACGTAAAATGCCTACCACAATGCTGTAGTAGCAATGACAGTGATGGACGTCTGGTTCAGTTTGCCGCACAGAATTTCATCAGTCTACATTCTGCCATTACCGGTTTGTCTCTCTGAAGCAGTTTTTAGCTACAGGCTGTCTCTGACACTCTCACCAAAATACAAAGAAGGCAAAGTGTTAAAAATGACATTTTAAGGACCTTTAGTAGATAGCTGCGCTATGATATTTAACTGAATACTTCACATCTTACTATGTAGATTCCTTTAATCACTTTCTGTTTTTTCATTTAAATAGGGGAGCTGAGAGGTGATTTTTTTTTTTTTTTTTTTTTTTTTTGAGAATGGAGAATGCTGAAAAGTGACGGAAAATAGGGTTGGAGGGAGGTAGGAATGGCCAGAATTAGAAGCAGGTGGATGGGACAGCCCTGATGAAGAAACTCAAGGCTCAGGTTCTATTTCTTCGCTACTCGGGGATCTGCCCCAATTGGCCCAGTAACACTATAATTTAGTCTTTTCTGCGCATGTCAAGATCTTTTGTCCCTCGGCGGACACCGTTTGCCAGCCAAAGCTATGTCGCGCTCACCGACTTCATAGGGTTCCGAATTCTGTCTTTTTTCCCCAAGCTTGCCATGGCTAGTCGAGGGGCTCGGCAGCGCCTGAAGGGCAGCGGGGGCAGCAGTGGGGATACGGCCCCCGTTGCGGACAAGCTGCGGGAGCTACTGGGCAGCCGAGAGGCGGGCGGCGCGGAGCACAGGACCGAGTACGTGTGCGGCGCGGCAGGGGCGTGGCCGCCCGGCCGGCCGGCGGCGCGGTTCGGGGCTGCCCCCGGGAGGGTCTTAGCAGTGGCGCGCGGGGCTCCGACAGGCCTGGCCTCCCCGCCGGAGGCCTGAGCTCCCTCTTCAGCTAGGTCATATTGCTCTTCCTGGGCGGGTCAGCATTCAGTCTTCGCCCACGTTAGATCCCTCCACTGCAGGTTCCCCTCTCTTGTAAAACCGCCTTGGAGTGCGGATCTATGATGCTCTCGGGCCAGGCCTAGAGTGGGCATAGCTTTTGTGGGAGATGTTGACAGGATCAAAGAGTATACCTTTTACGGTTGTTCCTCACAGCTCCTTTTATTCTGCCTCAAGTCCCGACCCTTTACTGGGCCCATCCAACCCACCACCACCTCTTCCCAAACCCGGGAGGCTGCAGGTTAGAACTGCATTAAGGGAGCTGTCAACATATGGAATTGGAGTAGGCTATGTACCTAGCATCTAGGTTTCTATCTGAACATAAGGATGAATGAATAAAGCCATGAAAAGCAATGACCTTGTTAAGAAAGGAAAGAAAAGGAGAATGACAGCTTTGTGGCCTTCAAATGATGGAGTGTCATAAATGCATTGAGCTAAAGTGTATGAGTTAATTTATGCCTTAAAAGCAGGAAGTGGAAGGAGTGATTGAGATTAAAGTCAATTCTTCAGAAGGCCGAGGCAGGAGGATTACTTGAGCCGAGGAGTTTAAGTCCAGCCTGAGCAACATAGCAAGACCCTATCATAAAATTTTTTTCTTAAAAATCTGAATTCTTTATTCATTTTACTGAGAGAGAACAACTAGCCATTCACCTTTTTAGGTGAATAACTTAAGTGCTTTGATGTCTCTTGTTCTTTTTGTCCTTTCTTTCTAGATTTAGGTCTTCTGCTTAGCAGGTCCTTCCTGACATGCCGTTTTTTTTTTTTTTTTTTTTTTTTGCTTTTGAGCAGGTTATCTGGGAACAAAGCAGGACAAGTCTGGGCACCTGAAGGATCTACTGCTTTCAAGTGTCTGCTTTCAGCAAGGTTATGTGCTGCTCTCCTGAGCAACATCTCTGACTGTGATGAAACATTCAACTATTGGGAGCCAGTAGGTGATTTCTTTAGTTTTCTCTTTTTGTTCTTGATTTTGCAGCATAGGTGTTATTACGAATCGAGAGACAAATAATATACAAGTGTCACTCCTAGTAAAATAGATGTATTTTCTTTAAAAAAACAAAACAAAACAACAACAAAAAAAACAGGCCTGGCACGGTGGCTAACGCTTGTAATCCCAGTACTTTGGGAGGCCGAGGCTGGTGAATTATCTGAGATCGGGAGTTTGAGACCAACCTGACCAACATTGTGAAACCCTGTCTCTACTGAAAATACAGAAATTAGCTGGGTGTGGTAGTGGGCACCTGTAGTCCCAGCTACTCAGGAGGCTGAGGCAGGAGAAACGCTTGATCACGGGAGGTGGAGTTTACAGTGAGCTGAAAGCACAACGTTGTGCTCCAGCCTGGGCGACAGAGCGAGACTCCGTCTCAGAAAAAAAAAACAAAAACAGAAATGGGGACTCATTATGTCACTGAGGCTGATATCGAACTCCTAGGCTCAAGTGATCCTCTCGCCTTGCTTCCAAAGTGTTGGGATTACAGGCGTGAGCCACTGGGCCTGGCCAGTAACATGTTTTCACTTTTGTATTCTAAGCAGATGATTTACCTGCTATTGAAGGCTGTAAGGAATTTAGCTGGTTTACACCAAGGTCTAATTTGTAATTTTCTTTTTTTTTTTAAATGAAAATAATACCTGGAGATAGTTTTTAAAGTTAACAAATACTAAAATACCTAAAGGAAAAACAGTAGCTTTCTATTCCACTTCTCATGTCCAAATCCTACTTTCCAGAGGCAACCACTTATTTTCACTTTTTTTTTTTTTTTTTTTTTTTTTGAGATGGAGTCTCGCTCCACCGCCCAGGCTGGAGTGCAGTGGCCGGATCTCAGCTCACTGCAAGCTTCGCCTCCCGGGTTCACGCCATTTTCCTGCCTCAGCTTCCCGAGTAGCTGGGACTGCAGGCGCCCGCCACCTCGCCGGGCTAGTTTCTTTGTATTGTTTTAGTAGAGACAGGGTTTCACCGTGTTAGCCAGGATGGTCTTGATCTCCTGACCTCGTGATCCGCCCGTCTTGGCCTTCCAAAGTGCTGGGATTACAGGCTTGAGCCACCATGCCCGGCCTTTTTTTCACTTTTTAAGTTATGTCTTATGGTTACCAAAATAGTGTTACTAAATAGTATGCTTTTATTGCTATTTCTTGATTTACACATTACCTATTGACTCCTATTATAGAAAATTCAAAGGTAAAATTTTCTGATCACATTTTGAATTAAAAAAATGAAGGAAGAATGTTAAGTGTAGGTTGTTTAAGGAAAATATGTAATTTAGAGTTTTTCTGTTTTGGGTAACGAGTGTTGAGAAAAAATAAGTAGAAGATAAAATTCGAGCTTTCAGTGTTGACCAAACAGCAATCTTGTAAAATGTATAATGTCTTAATATTTAAAATATTATATCATTTTGATTCCTTTTTTATCCATCAATTGCAAATCGCCTAGGCTGGAGTGCAGTGGCATGATCTGGGTTACTGCAACCTCTGCCTCCTGGGCTCAACTGATTCTCCTGCCTCAGCCTCCCAAGTAGCTGGGACTACAGGCATGCACCACCATACCATGCTAATATATTTATATATATATTTTTGTAGATACGGGGTTTTGCTATGTTGCCCAGGCTGGTCTTTAACTATGGGGCTCAAGCAACCTGCCTGACTTGCCCTCCCAAAGTGCTGGGGTTATAGGTGTGAGGCACCGTGCCTGGCCTGCCTTTGTCTTTAATATTTCTGCTCAGAAACTTCACTTTCATCTGCTTAACAGAGATTTTTGGCCAATATAACCCTGAATCTATCTGTTTTGTATTTTTAGACACACTACCTCATCTATGGGGAAGGGTTTCAGACTTGGGAATATTCCCCAGCATATGCCATTCGCTCCTATGCTTACCTATTGCTTCATGCCTGGCCAGCTGCATTTCATGCAAGAATTCTACAAACTAATAAGGTAAGGGCAGACCAACCTGGAAGCAATCACAATTGATCAAGAGGTGAGTCTCTGGTATAATTTTGAGAAAAGGACAAAATAGATTGGAAGTTAAAAGGGAACTTTTTTTGAAGAAGAATCATTTATTCACCATTCAACAAGCATTAATGGAACAACTTTTGTTTGGTAGACACTGTATTAAGGCTGTGGCTATAACAATAACCAAGCCCCTGACTTAATGAAACTTGTGGTTTAGTGGAGAAGATGAACGTTGAACAAATCATTCTAAATATGATGGGTCTTATGGAGGAAAAGTACAATGTACAATGGAATAGCATATTAGGAGGGTCTAATTTAAGTAGAGTGCTGAGAAACAATTAGGTGTTAACTGGGACCTAACCTGATTAGTTTTCAGAAATTTGACTATGATGCGTCTTGGTGTGGATTTCTTTGGGTTTGTCCTGTTTGGAGTTTATTCAGCTTCTTGAATCTTTAGGCTTATTCCTTTTGCCAAATTTGGAAAGGTTTTAGTTTTTATTGTTTTGAATACTTTTTCAGCCCTTTTCTTTTTCCTTTTCTTATAGAACTTTGATGATGTGAATGTCAGATCTTTTGTTATTAGTCCCCCAGGTCTCTGAGACTCTGTTTTCAATTTATTTTCTCTCTGTTGTTCACATTAAGTAATTTCTGTTCTTCTGTCTTCCACTTCACTGATTCTTTCCTCTGTCCCCTCTTCCAATGTGGACCCCATCCATTGTATTTTTAGTTTGTTCTATGTATTTTTTCAGTTTTAAAATTTCCATTTGGTTTTTCTATCTTCTAATTTTTTTTTACTGAGACTTTCTCCTTTTCATTTGCTTCAAGCATATTCTTAATTGTTCACTGAAATATTTTTACGAAGCCTGCTTTAAATTTTGTCAGATAATTCTAACACCTCTGTCATCTTGGTGTTGGAATCTGTCGATGGACTGTTTTCATTCAGTTTGAGATCTTCCTGGGTCTTGGTATGACAGGTCATTTTCAGTTGAAAGCTGGACATTTTAGGTGTTGCATGATGAGATTCTGGATTATTCATGGGCTCAGCATGCTTTCTTTGCAGTTTTGTGCTCCTTGGATCTTATTTAAGCCTTCTGTTTCAGCTGGCTTCTTTTGATACTACTTCCCACTAACCCAGCAGGAAAAGAGCATTAGTGGGATGTTTCTACCTTGTTACTGCCAAGTGGAGGTAGAACTTGAGGTTCCCTACCAGGCCTCCACTGAAATCTGAGGAAGGGGGTCCTTTTTGTTATTGGTGGGCAAGAGTTGAAGGTCTCACTCCCTACTAGGCCTTCACTGATACCACCTTACAGGTAGAGTCCAAGCATCTTGACAGATTGAAGTTGGGTATGGAAGTCCAGGCTCCTAAAGTGGTTGCCACTGACACCATGATGAAGGAGAGGCTCATTACTACCAGTGGGGATGGAAGTCCTGGCTTCCTATCTGACCTCTGATGCATGGGTAGGAGTGGATATTTCTCCAGGGTATTTGTCCTGAATGGAGTAGTTACTGTCTAAAAGTTTTTGTCATGCGAGGCTACCTTTTCTTTGGTCCTTTGGCTACACAGCAGACCTTGGTTGGGTTGTTTTTGTCTTCTGTGCCCATTGGCATTTTCAGTTGCCAGCTTTTCATGCCTAGAATACACCAAGCAAAAAGAAAACCCATGGAATTTACCACTGTGTTGTTTCTCATGTCCTGAAGTCTGTAGCCAGCCTGCTTTCTTCTCTCCACCTTGAGAGTCTTCTTAGGTTGGTTTTAAATAGATTGTCCAGAGTTTCTGGTGGTTTTTTTGGTTGTTATAAATAGAGTGTCCAGGAATAGGGGAAAAGTCCATTTTCCATGAAGCAGAAGTCCCTAACTAGAGAACTGAAGGATAAGTAGGAGTTGTCTAGGTAAGGGAAGAGTGGGGATGCAGGAGAAAGTTGGGAATAGTCTTCTAGACTGATGGCCCTGAGGCTGGGAAGAAGGACAGCGTGGCTTTCTTGTATAAACAGGTTTACACTTGGAAGAGGGAATGGTGGAATAGATTAGATGAGACGAGAATTAAGAAGACACCAGATTTCTACAAGACCTGGTAGGATCTATTAAGGTATCAGACTGTTGTTCTTCTCCCCACAAGTCTGTTGTGTGAAGCCACTGAAAGGTTTTCAGACAAAAGAGAGGTATGATTGCATTTGCATTTTAGAATGTTCAGAAAGGTAGCACCTGCAGAAAGTGACAAAAATTCTATCCCTCCCTTCCATATCCAGTATCTCATTTCTGTTTTTTTTTGAAATGAAGTCTCACTCTGTCGCCCAGGCTGGAGTGCAGTGGTGCGATCTTAGGTCACAGCAACCTCCATTTCCCGGATTCAAGTGATTATCCTGCCTCAGCCTCCTGAGTGACTGGGATTACAAGCTTGAGCCACCATGTCTGGCTAATTTTTTTGTATTTTTAGTAGAGACAGGGTTTCACCATGTTGGCCAGTTTGGTCTCAAACTCCTGACCTCAAGTGATCCGCCTGCCTTGGCCTCCCAAAGTGCTGGGATTATGGGCGAGAGCCACTGCACCTGGCCTCATTTCTGTTTGTTTTTTTTTGAATTTGTCAAAGGAAAGATAATAAAGGGTGAAGGGCTCAGTAGAAAACTAACAATGTGCTATGCAGAGGGTTGTCATTTCCACTTGGATATCTACTATCACTTCAAATTTTACATGTTCAACACAGAATTCTTCCTCTTCTCTAATCCTGTTACATCACTGATGTGCACAGCAAGTGAAATGGAAAGCAAGATTTCTCTTCTCTTGTTCTGACTTCCGATCTCCTTTTTCCCAGCCACCTGGCAAAGGGGAATTATAGCTTAGAGAGTCTTAGCCCCAGCATCATAACGCTGAGTAGAGAAGGGTGGTTGTTTCTGAGAGATAGTGTGGTAACAATTGGCACCTCTAGTGATAACTACCTTCTCAATCTCTTGCTACCCCAATTGAAAGCACCTTTGTATTGTCTCTTCGTGGACTTGTTTGTGAATTTCTCTGAAGTGTACACTCAGGAGTGAGATCCCACACATAGACCCATGGGCTTACTGAATCTCAGAGTTCTGCCAGATTGCTCTCCAGATGGCTGTACAACTTTATGTTCTCTGCAGCAGTACTCCAGGCTCCATCTTCCTCTCCTGAGTCTTTCTCATGTATGTGAGATGCTTCTCATTTTAATTGAATTTCTGTGATTATTAGTGAAGAGGAGCATTTCTTCATACATTTATTACTCATTTAGAGCTTCCTTTCTGTGAATTACACATTCACATCCTTTGCCTATTTTTCTGTTGGGTTTTCTATTTTATTCTTCCAATTTGTAGACATTCTCAGTAGTAACCCCCTATAGGTTTTAGATATTGCATATATTTTCTCTTACCTTTATTACCTTTGTCTGTGGTCCTTTGTTGAACAGTAATCTTTAATTCAATATGATCAAACCAATCCATTGTCTCTTGTGATTGGTGGATTTTGGGTCTTTGTAAAAGAAATCCTCCTTCACCACAGATCATAGAGATATTCTTCTGTATTTTCTTCAATTAGCTTTTGTTTTTTTTTTTTTGAGATGAAGTCTCGCTCTGTCACCCACTGGAGTGCAGTGGTGCGATCTCGGCTCACTTCAGCCTCTGCCTCCCAGGTTCAAGCGATTCTCCTGCCTCAGCCTCCCCAGTAGCTGGGACTACAAGCATGTGCCACCACGCCCAGCTAATTTGTGTATTTTTGGTAGAGATGGGTTTTTGCCATGTTAGCTGGTCTGGTCTCAAACTCCTGAACTCAGGTGATCCACCCACCTCGGCCTCCCAAAATGCTAGGATTCAATTAGCTTTTAATTTTATCTTTTACATATAAGGCTTGAATCATTTGAAGTTTATTTTTATAAATTGTGGAAAGATCTAGCTTTATTTTTTGCTATATGGTGAACTGGATTTTCTAGAACCATCTACCAAATAACCCACCTTTTTCCTTCTGATTTGTAATACCACCTCTATCATTCACCTCATTCCCATATGTATATGGGTTCTTTCTGTTGTCTATTCTTTGTCATTGGTCAGTTTATTACCATATTGCTTTTATTATTATGGCTTTGTAATGTATGTCACTATTTGGTGAATGAATTTCTTACATTGTCCTTTTTAAAATTTGTATTTTAAAAATCATTTTAGAATCAGTTTGCCCCTCACCCAAATTCTGCTAGGTTTTGATTAGAGTTGTACTAAATTTACCTATTATTTTGAGAATGAATTATTTTATTTTATTTTATTTTATTTTTTTGAGACAGGGCCTTGCTCTTCTTCCCAGGCTGGAGTGCAGTGGTGCAGTAATAACTGTTTTTTTTTTGAGTTTGAGGTGCAGCCTCAAACTCCTGGGCTCAAGGAATCCTTCTACTTCAACCTCTGGAGTAGTTAGGACCGCAGGTACATGCCACCATATCCAGCGAATTTTTAATTTTTTGTAGACTTGGAGCCTCGCTATATTGTCCATGCTGGTCTTCAATTCCTGGCCTGAAGCACACGCCTTGCCCCAGCCTCCTAAAGGGTTGGGATTACAGGCGAGTGCCACTGCACTCAGCAGAATTAACACTTTTATAGTGTTAAGTCATTCTGTCCCTAAAATGATATATTTATCCATTTAGTCAAGTTTTCTGTGTCTTTTAATAAATTTTTTTTATTAACCCTGAGTAGCTGGGGTTACAGACGCCCACCAACATGCGTGGCTAATTTTTTTGCATTTTTAGTAGAGATGGAGTTTTGTCGGGTTGGCCAGGCTGGTCTTGAACTCCTAATCTCAGGTGATCCACCCGCCTCGGCCTCCCAAAGTGTTGAGATTACAGACGTGAGCCACTGCGCCCGGCCAGTTATAATATATATTAAGTAGTGTTTATGTTCTGAGAAATTCAGTGCTCTTAACCATATGGTATTCTGTAGTATAAAGCTATTCAGTATAACCCATATTTTATTATTTTTATTTTTTAAATTGATTGTTATCAATTATAAAATTAATAAAACCACATTACAGAACTTTGGAAGATAGAAGGAAAAATACTCACCTAAATCTACCAGGTTGTTATAGCTACTTTTACCATTTTATTACATTTCTTTCCAGTCTTTCCATATGCATATAGTGTCCATAGCTGTAACTGATGTATAAATAATATTGTATTGTACATTTTCACTTAATATTTTGTCATAATCACTACCTGATGTATTATAGTTGTTGAAGAAGTGCTTGTTGAATGAATGAGCGTTATATTGCAAGAATGTTTTCATTGTCTTTGTAACCATAAATTTTAATATCTGTATAATTGTCCATGAGCTAGATGTAGCCTAGTTTATTTAATCGTTTCCCTATAATTGAATATTTTGTAGTTTTTGAAGCAGTTTTTACTAAAACTGCAATTAACATTTTTGTGAATGGAGCTCCACCTCCCAACCCCCACCAGCTGGAGTGATAGAAGTAGGTATTCTGATACTAAGTCAAGGGATATGAAAATTCTTAGTCCATGTTGCTTTTCAAAAGAATTATGCCAATTTACAGTGTTATTGACAATAAATGAGAGTGGTTCATGTTTACGAGTTTTTCTAGCTCATATCTGTGACTTCTGTTTTCTTTTTCTGGGTTTCTTTCAGATTCTTGTGTTTTACTTTTTGCGATGTCTTCTGGCTTTCGTGAGCTGTATTTGTGAACTTTACTTTTACAAGTGAGTATAAAAACTTTGCTTCTAAAAATGCTATGAGGAAACCCATTATTGCATAGATTATCTCTTGTGATAGTCTAGGCAGTGATTAGAAATAGAAAACACTTTGCCGGGTGTGGTGGCTCACACCTGTAATCCCCGCACTTTGGGAGGCCGAGGCAGGTGGATCACCTGAGGTTGGGAGTTCAAGACCAGCCTGACCAACATGGAGAAACCCCATCTCTACTAAAAATACAAAATTAGCCGGGTGTGGTGGTGCATGCCTGTAATCCCAGCTACTCAGGAGGCTGAGGCAGGAGAATCACTTGAACTCGGGAGGTGGAGGTTGTGGTGAGCTGAGATTGTGCCATTGCACTCCTGGGCAACAAGAGTGAAACTCCATCTCAAAAAAAAAAAAAAAAGAAAGAAAGAAATAGAATACACTTTCCTTCTAGCTCCTGATATATATATCATATATATATATATATTTTTTTTTCTTTTCTGAGAAAGAAAACTTTTTTTTTTCATACTGAGTTTTATTGTATACTGCTGCCAGTGTAGATAAAACAATTACCCTTGTGAAATAGAAATTCATGAAAATTCAGAGAGGTAGATATTAAAGACTGACGAAAGTAGAAGTTTGTGTAGTATGGCACATGTGCTACAGGGATAAGCTTTTGTACAGACTTCAAATTTAGTTCTGTTTTGAATATCCACTGGATCATAAGAAGTGGTTTGGGAAACTTTTGAAAGATTCATTTTACTACCAAAAAACAGATTTTCTGGGGTCTGAAGGGATTTGTACTTGAAGATACTCCAGTCAGCAGAGGGTCGTGTTGAACATTCCGCAGACAGAATTGTTTCAAGTCTGCAGCTGCCTGCGAAACTTTTATGCAGCTGACCCTGGCCTCCAGCCGGGGCTGTTGAACCACTTTCTTCATAGCGGCGATGCTGGAGGAGTCAGACATGGTGTCCGTGAGGGCCAGGCCAGTTTGTCGGTTGGTGGGTCATGGGTCAACAGGGCCTATCTGAAAACTTCTTGCTTTTATTTATTTTTCTCTTTTCATTTTTTAATTTTTATTTTTATTTCAATAGTTTTCGGGGTACAGGTGGGTTTTGGTTATATGAATAAGTTCTTTAGTGGTGATTTCTGAGATTTTGATGTACCCCTCACCTGTAGCTCCTGATATTAAATCTGAAGTGTGACTTCTTGTTTGAAACCAACAGTTGAAGAGGAACACTATACTTCTAATTATCGTTTTCTTTCCTGAGGTCATAAATACCATAACCTTACGTCATTCATTTTAATTCTGTTAAAAACTATCTAACTGGTCTTTACTTGATAGGATTTAGTAGAACTCTACTTTTGGTCCTAAGATACAGGATCGTGATTTGCCTCTGCCCTACAGCTTAGTTGATAAACTACTCCCAGTGTGGGATATCACTGCTCTTATTTGCACCCAATATATTGTCTTTCACCAAGTACCTATCAGTTGATTTAATATTAGTTGGGACTATTAAGCATTTAAGTGTCCCAGTAATAAAAATAGCCACCTTTTTTACGTGATTAATTAACAAACGTCTTATTTTAATAATGCTTTAGTAATATATTTAAAGGTATTTGGACTTAGTGATCATTATTAAAAGTCTTCCCACAGCTAAAAATGTCAGATTTTAAAAAATCTTTAGCCTTGACTCTGAGTGAAGTGGAGGGAAAAAAAGTAAAGCTAGTACTGCCTTTGAGAATTGTAACCATAAATTGGTCTTCATATGGGTTTGGGCCTGAATTCAAATCACCTACATGGTCTTTCAAGCCCTAAACTGATAATTTATTTTATTATATATTTTTTATTTTATTTTATTTTCGAGACTGTTGCCCAGGCTGGAGTGCAGTGGCATGATCTCGGCTCACTGCAACCTCCGCCTCCCGGGTTCAAGCCATTCTCCTGTCTCAGCCTCCTGAGTAACTGGGACTACAGGTGCACACCACCACGCCTGGCTAATTTTTTGTACCTTTAGTAGAGATGGGATTTCACCATGTCTGATCTCCTGACCTCGTGATCTGCCCGCCTTGGCCTCCAAAAGTGCTGGGATTACAGGTGTGAGACACCAGGCCCAGCCGAGAATTTATTTTAAATTGTTCTGGGTTGGTAGTGCCCCTGGCATCTGGTAAAAATTTCTCTAGAGAAATGGACCCTTAACCCAAGTGTCTGAAAATTACCAGAGATAAAGTTCTAATGAACAAGAAATTATAATAAAAATAAATCAGAGCACAGAAGGGAGCAAAACATTATGAGTGAGAATAGAATGTTGACCTGAAAAACTTCATTTCTTGAGAAATAGGAATATAAAATAAGTATATTTAACATTTTCAAACAAGTAAAAGAACCGAAAACATGAACAAGAAACAAGATGACCAAATAAATTTTTTAAAAATCAGAACTTACAAGATCATATAAAATGTAATATTATATAATATCAATAATATGTATATAATATTTATACTTAAAACTCAGTAGATAAACAGCAGATTAGACATTCTGATGAGTAAACTAGTAAATTGGAAGATTGATTTAAATAAATTACTCAAAATGCAGTACAGAGAGACCAAAAAAAAAAAAGGTAATATAGTAGAGGTTAAGAAATGTGTAAACCACAGCTGGGTGCAGTGGCTCACGCCTGTAATCACAGCACTTTGGGAGGCTGAGGCAGGTGGATCACTTGAGGTCAGGAGTTTGAGACCAGCCTGGCCAACATGGTGAAACCTCATTTCTACTAAAAACAAAAAAATTAGCCAGGCGTGGTGGCGCATGCCTGTAGCCCCAGCTACTTGGGTGGTAGAGGCACAAGAATCACTTGAACTCAAGAGATAAAAGTTGCAGTGAGCCAAGATCATGCCATTGCACTCTAGCCTGGACTACAGAGAGAGACTCTTTCTCAAAAAAAAAAAAAAGAAAGAAAAGAAATGTGTAAGCCAGAGTTGAAAGAACTGATATACATCTAATCAGATTGTAGAAGGAGTTGATAGAATGGGGAGAGGCAATATTTGGGGTATTAATAGCTGAGAATTTTCCAGAAATGATGGGGAAAAAAAGATACTAATCCATAGATTTAGTAAACCTAACATATCCCAAGCTAGATACAAAAAAAATTAGTGTAGTGAAACTGTGTAAAACAGTAGAGACAAAGAAAAAGATTTTAAAAGTTGTCAGAGAACTAATAGAATACCTACAAAGGAGTGTTAGGTAGTTATACTGACAGAAGACTTTTTAACAGCCAGAAGACCAAAAAAGAATATCTTCAAAGTGCTGAGAGAAAAGAACTCTCATCCTAAAATTGTATATTAGGTTAAGCCATCTTTTAAGACCAAGAGCTAAATACGGATTTTCAGTTAAAAAAAAAAGAGAGAGAGAAAGGAAAACAAAAAAAAAAAGGAACAAGCTTGTAATCCCAATGCTTTGGAAGACTGAGGTAGGAGGATCGTTGAGGATTGCTTGAGCCCAGGAATTTGAGATCAGCCTGGGCAACATAGCAAGACCTCATCTCTACAAAAAATGAGCTGGATATGATGGCACATGCCTTTAGTCACAGTTACTCCTAGCCATTCGAGAGGCTGAGGCAGGAGGTTCCCTTGAACACTGGAGTTCAAGGATACAGTGAGCTATGACCATGCCACTGCACACCAGCCTGAGCGACAGAGAGTATGACCCTATCTGTGGGGCGGGTGGGGGGATGGGAGGGAAGAAAGGAAAGAAAAGGAAACCAACCAACCAAAAAGACAGAATTTATCATTAACAGATTTCTCACTAAAAGAACTTCTAAAAGAGATACGTAGGAAAAAGCAAAATTATTTCAGAAAGAAGCTCTGAAATGCAGTAAGGAATCTGAGCTGGGAAATGATGAACACACGGATGTGTCTGAACAAACATTGACTAAGCAAAGCAGTAGTAATGCCTAAATACGTTTAATTTGTGGGGTTCACACCTACGAGAAAGAAGTAGAAGATATGTAATTAATTAAGTTTGAGAAACGCTGGTTTAGTTAACCACTTACTCACATTTTCATCTATCTCTTAGCCTTTTTTTTTCTGACAACTACCATTTATTAAGCAACTGTGTGCCAGACAGTCTCCTAAGCACTTTTCCTTGCATTGTCCTCACAGAAACCTTACAAAGTTTGTGTTATTGTCCTTATTTTATGCTTGAGGAATCAGACAGAGAGATTATTCAACCAGAGTAGGGTTTCACTGCTAGTAAGTGGCAGAGACAGAATTTGAATGTGTGCCCACCTGAATCTAAGGTCTATTGTTTTTCACCACATCATTCTATTTTCCACTTGATAGATATAATCTTAGCATGTAAAGAATACATTTTATTTTAGGTAGAGAGCTTCTCTTCTGTGTCAGAAACAAGAATGTTTGGGTTTCTTATGCACAGTGAATTGCTAACAAACCTGTCAAGGTAGTTTTGTGTTTGACTTTAGATCTTGAGTGTTACCTGTGGTGCATGTTTTTCTCCTTCGATTTGAGATGTCTATTCCTAATATTTTCCATGCTGATAATCTTGTGTTTTTCCTAGGGCTGTGTGCAAGAAGTTTGGGTTGCACGTGAGTCGAATGATGCTAGCCTTCTTGGTTCTCAGCACTGGCATGTTTTGCTCATCATCAGGTAAGTAAAAGGGGAGATAAGGGAATTGCACATTCACCAATAGTTGACAGTTGCATTTAAAGGAAGCACTTGTCCAAATGTAGGTTATATTTGTAGAACATGTCAATAATTTCCAGAGGGCTGTTATCTACATTATCTTGATTGAACTTTGTAACAGTCCTACCATGTGAGAAAAATATTTTCTTACTTTTGCAGGTAAAGACATTGAAATGTAGATAAAATGATTTACTAAAAGTCAAAATTCATAAATGGTAGAGCTGATAGTCTCACCAGGATGTTTTTTATTCCATTCTTGCATCAACCACACACTTCCTTTCTTGGCCATTAGGGGAAAGAAAGTAATTCTTTTATTTTGTTTAAGGAAGTTATTTGTACATAAAGACCTTGTTGTTGATGGTTCTGTTTTCCACTGATGATACATTATTTGAGATGTATTCTATGTACATCTTTTGTTGGGTTTTCTTTTGATAATAAGCTTCTGGAAATTTAGAATAAAAACCTCACTCTAGAGCACTGGCTTTCAGACTGTGCTGCCATTGAACACTTGGGTTGTATAAGCTGAATCAAGGTAGCCCACTGCCAAATGGTAGTCTATTCCCAGTTCTCCAGAAAAATTAAGTTACTGGATATAATTGTCTTAATTTTAGTTTCTGCTTGTGTGTTCCCGGATCTAGTATATACATTGAGTATATGCAAAAACATAGTATCTGGCACAAAATTACGTACTTACTTTTCCCGTATTAAGTATATCAAAATTGATGTTGTTCTGCAGAGATGTCAGGGCTATACTCTAGAGTGACTTTGAGAGCCTGTCCTAAATGCATCTGTGCCCTACCTCAGATTACTCTGCTCCCTTTGTCCTCTACACTGCAGCTGGAACTGACAGCTTTGGATGGCATCACTGTTATTTGACATTTACTGGTAAAGGGTATACCTCACATGTTTTTAAAGTTGCTTTGCTACTTCTTTTCTTTTTTTTTTTTGAGACAGAGTCTTGCTCTGTTGCCCAGGCTGGAGTGCAGTGATGCCACCTCGGCTCACTGCAACCCCCTCCTCCTAGGTTCAAGCGATTCTTTTGCCTCAGGCTCCTGAGTAGCTTGGATTACAGGCACGTGCCACCGTGCCCAGCTAATTTTTTTATTTTTAATAGAGATGGGGTTTCACCATGTTGGTCAGGGTGGTCTCAAACTCCTGACCTCATAATCCACCTGCCTCAGCCTCCCAAAGTGCTGGGATTACAGGTGGGAGCCACTGCATCCGGCATCTTTTCTTTCAAGTGACAAGGTCTTGCTCTTCATCTAGGCAGGCTAGAGTGCAGTGGCAGAATCATAGCTCACTGCAGCCTTGAATTCCTGGGCTCTAGCAGTCTTTCCGCTACAGCCTCCCAAGTAGCTAGGACTATAGGCATGCATCACAATGCCTGGCTAGTTTTAAAATTTTTTGTAGAGATGGAGTTTCACTGTGTTGCCCAGGCTGGTCTCAAACTCTTAGCCTCAAGCAGTCCCCCTACCTTGGCCTCCCAGAGTACTGAGATTAAAGACATGTGCCTGGCCTGCTACTCCTACAATTGATCTTTATATGTGGAAAATTCCTGAGAATATCTTTAGTTTTGTAATCTCATTTGAGACACAGATAAGTTGAAAGCATCTTTTCATACAGAGCCTCTGAACCGTTTGCTGAGTTTAAAAAAACCTCACTCCTATTAATTGTGGTTGTTTTGTAGTTGATACTGATTTTTCTTCCCTACTGAATCAGACTTTCTGCAGTGGAAGAGGCAGATGTGCATTTTTGTTCAGAGTTACTATAAACACTTTAATCAATTGTTTCTGTTCCAGAGACCCTGTCTGTCCTCTGCTGTATACAACAACAAGGTTGAGGTAGATGGAACTAATTAGGGGGCTATCTAAAGGCCAGACTATCTGTGTCAGCAGATGGAGGGTACAAAGCATTGCTGCCATACAATATCTCGCCCTTGAGGAGGCTTTCTAGAATTTCCTGGGCTAGAGTTTAGGACCAGGACAGTCTCAGAAGACCAACGGAAGATAAGCTTCTTCAGAAGGAAATTGTCAACAATGGTTCTGAGTCTTTTAAAGCATATTCCCTTCCTGGAAATATAATCATGGGGTGTTCCTGAGGAGCATGGAATTCTGTGAGTTTTTGATTTGAGGTGTAGGTTGGGAGAGGAATTACATGGTTAGAATTGTATAATTGGGTTGGTACCTAAAAAAACAGGAGGGAGAGGCCAGGCACGGTGGCTCATGCCTGTAATCCCAGTACTTTGTGTGGCCGAGGTGGGTGGATAACGAGGTCAGGAGTTCAAGACCAGCCTGGCCAATATGGTGAAACCCTGTCTCTACTAAAAATACAAATATTAGCTGGGCGTGGTGGTGTGTACCTGTAATCCCAGCTACTCGGGAGGCTCAGGCAAGAGAATCGCTTGAACCAGAGAATCGGAGGTTGCAGTGAGCCGAGATTGGCCACTGCACTCCAGCCTGGTGTTAGAGCAAGACTCCGTCTTAAAAAAAAACCCAAAAAACCAGGAGTGAGAAAATAAGAGTCATTGAACTTCATTTTTTTTTTTAAAGGAATATCACTTTGCTGTCCTTTCTAATATAGCATTTCCCAAAATATGTACCTGTTTATTGACATTTTACAATGTAGGTAAATTGTTAATCAGTTTTTAATTGATACCTAGTTAACCTCGAACTCTTGTCCTCCTGCCTTTTTTTACTTCTTTACTCTTGCAGCATTCCTTCCTAGTAGCTTCTGTATGTACACTACGTTGATAGCCATGACTGGATGGTATATGGACAAGACTTCCATTGCTGTGCTGGGAGTAGCAGCTGGGGCTATCTTAGGCTGGCCATTCAGTGCAGCTCTTGGGTAAGAAACTAACAGTTCTTCTCCCGTGTATCTCTGGGCATATAGTAAACCTTAATGTTGGATTAGCTCCATATTATCTGCATAGAATCTGAAGTTAATCAATTGGGCTTTCAAAGATTCTAGGAAATGTAAGAATATTTCTCTTAGCACTTACTATTATGATTAATTCTAATAAGAGTCATGACCATTGAGCATCTGCTATGTGTTAGGCACAGTGAAACCCTTTGTAAACCTTATCTTGAAACCTTACAACAACTCTGCAGGAGAAATACAATTATTAGTGCTTTATAAATGAGAAAGTAGACTCCGAGAGTTTGAATAATTTAAGATTGTTTGCTTTTGAATCCAGGCCTTTTTGACTCTACAGCTGATGTTTTCTCCACACGGCACCACCCTGTTCTATGAATTTTTTCACTCGGGTTTGAAATCTGAGTTTCCTACCATCTTCCTTCTTTCTTTATATTTATTTATTTATTATTATATTTGAGATGACGTTTCACTCTAGTTGCCCAGGCTGGAGTGCAATGGCATGATCTTGGCTCACCACAACCTCTGCCTCCTGGTTTCAAGCGATTCTCCTGCCTCAACCCCCAAAGTAGCTGGGGCTACAGGCGTGTGCCACCATGCCTGGCTAAGTTTGTATTTTTAGTAGAGATGGGGTTTCTCCATGTTGGTCAGGCTGGTCTTGAACTCGCAACCTCAGGTGATCCGCCGGCCTTGGCCTCCCAAAGTGCTAGGATTACAGGCATGAGCCACTGCACCTGGCCCAGTCTTCTTTCTTGCCCCCAACATCTTTTTTCCCACCAAGCTCCTTCTATACTCTTTGTTCCCACTACTTCTGTTCTAATGTGTGCTGCCTTAATTTCTTACCTGTACCACAGGTAATTTAGGAAAATATTTTAATCTGATGTTAAGGTTATTTTAGAAGGATTATATCTTTATTGTAAAAAAAAAAAAAAAGTAAGTACCAGATTGTATAAGGTAAAAATAATTCCTAATTTTCTTCTCCGCTAGCTCAATCCTCAAAGATAGTCACTGCTAATAGTTTGGTATATGTCTTTCCAGAAAAATTATCCTGTGTGTATAAATATTTGTATACATACCAATCTACATTCTTAAATGGAATTATTCTGTATATATATAGGTATTCTACATATTAATAGATTTATATCATTGTTTATATTGGTTGCATAACATTCCATGGTTTACTTAATTATTGCCTTATTGGTAGACATTTGGTTTTCATTTTTTTACTGTTATACCCAATGCTTCAGTGAACAATTTTTTTTTTTTTTTTTTAAGATGGAGTCTTGCTGTGTCACCCAGGCTGGAGTGTAGTAGCATGATCTTGGCTCACTGCAACCTCTGTCTCCCAGGTTCAAGCAGTTCTCCTGCCTCAGCCTCCCAAGTAGCTGGGATTACAGGTGCATGCCACCACGCCCAGCTAATTTTTGTGTTTTTAGTGGAGATGGGATTTTACCATATTGGCCAGGCTGGTCTCAAACTCCTGACCTCGTGATCGCCTGTCTCGGCCTCCCAAAGTGTTGGGATTACAGGTATGAGCCACCGTGTCCGGCCCAGTGAACATTATTATACAGATATCTTTGTGCACTTATAGAAATTTACCTATGGGGTAAATTTTTATAAGGGGAGTTACTGAGAGAATAGGCCATTTTAAATTTTCTTAATTGCCTTTTAAAGGCTGGTTTCCTTACCTCCATTCCTTTCTTCTATTCTATTTTGCACGTTCTCAGATTTTCATATTCCTCAGGATTGTATCTTAGGCCCTCTTCTGTACTTTCTGCTGTCTCTCAGCCATCTTGGTGATTCCCATAGCTTAATGTCTAGTCCAGTTATCTCTCTTGAGCTTCATTCATATATTCCCAGCTGCTTAGTAGATGGCTGCTGAATTCATTATCTTCTCTCCATAGCTGTTCCTTTACTTGTGTTTCTATTCCAGTAAATAGTACTGCTGTCTCCTCAGTACTGACCCAGAAACCTGAAAATTGTCTGTACTCTTCTCTCTTTCCCATCCGTGTTAATTGATTGTATCTCCTGAATATCTTTTAAATCTGATTACTTGTCTTCACTCCCCCTTGTTCCTGGATCACTACACGGCCTCCTAAATGATCTCCTTGTCTCTAGTATTGACCCCTGTAAATCAGCTCTCCAAACTCACTGGAGTTATGTTCCTCAAATGCAGATGTGGTTGTATCACCTCCCTGTTTTAAACTCTGTGGTAGCTTCTCCATTGCTTTATGTCATGAGGGTTGGCTGACTGATCTGTTTTTGTACAGCCCAACAACTAAATAGTGTTTACGTTTTTAAAGGGTTTTTAAAAAACAACAAACATACACAGAGGAGGAAGACTATGCAACAGAGAACATATGTGGCCTGCAAAGCCTAAAATATATACTGTCAGATCCTTTAAATAAAATATATACTGTCAGGTCCTTTAAATAAAAGGGGTTGTCAGGCCAACCCCTGCCCTGTGGTATCCAGACTCAAAGATAACACACAACGCCCTGCATGGTCTTCCTTTTACTTCTCCAGCTTCTTTTTCAGTTCTTCCATTCCTTTCATTCTCTATTCCATCTACATTGAATTTCACTGAGTTCCTCAAATAGCTCTTGGGTGCCACATTTCGATGAGTCCGCCTTTACCAAGATAAGTGATTTGAGGATCACAGTCAGTTAGCAATCAGTATACTGTCATTCATTGAATGCTTTGTGCTAGATACTACTGATATTTTAGAAATTAGATAGTCATGCTTCCTGCCCTTTTGGAACTTAACAGTTTAGTAGGAAAGACAGATATTGGACAAGTAATTAAAAGTATGACTTATCAAAGGAGAAATACAAGTACTATGGAAATGGAAGGAGTTGGGGTGACAAAAAATAAAAACAAAATGTTAATGCAGAATTTACATAACAACATGGAGGTTCAAATCACAGAAGAGGTACTATGACAGCACACAACATTGCTAAATCAATGATAGAGATGATGATGCCATATAAAATCAAAGATGGGGCCAGACATGGTGGCTCATGCCTGTAATTCCAGCACTTTGGGAGGGTGAGACAGGCAGATCTCTTGAGGTCAGGAGTTTGAGACCAGCCTGGCCAACATGGTGAAACCCCGTCTCTACTAAAAATACAAAAAAATTAGTGGGGTGTGGTGGTGCGCGCCTGTAGTCCCAGTTACTTGGGAGGCTGAGGCAGCAGAATCGCTTGAACCCAGGAGGCGGCGGTTGCAGCGAGCCAAGATCATGCCGCTACACCCAGCCTAGGTGACAGAGTGAGACTCTGTCTCAAAAAAAAAAAAAAAAAAGTTAGCTGGGGCTGATGGCGTGTGCCTGTAGTCCCAGCTACTTGGGAGGCTGAGGCAGGAGAATGCTGGAACCTAGGAGATAGAGGTGGTAGTGAGCCGAGATTGCACCACTGCACTCCAGCCTGGGCAATAGAGTGAGACCCTGCCTCAAAAAAAAAAAAAAAAAAAAGTCTGTAATAACATTATTACTAAAATCCTAGTAAATCATGGAAGGGAGAGGTTAGTACTTACTTCTTTGGCAGGGTGGGTGTAAGACAGTAGGGCACAGAGGCCGGGTGCGGTGGCTCACGCCTGTAATCCCAGCACTTGGGGAGGCCGAGGCACATGGACTGTGAGGTCAGGAGATCGAGACCATCCTGGCTAACACAGTGAAACCCCGTCTCTACTGAAAATACAAAAAATTTGTCAGGGCTGGTGGCGGTCACCTGTAGTCCCAGCTACCCGGGAGGCTGAGGCAGGAGAATGGCATGAACCTGGGAAGTGGAACGTGTAGTGAGCCGAGATCACGCCATTGCACTCCAGCCTGGGCAACAGAGCGAGACTCCATCTCAAAAAAAAAAAAAGACAGTAGGGCACATATACTTATATTTTAAATTTCCATTACCCATAAATGTGTATCAAATGGAATTAATTCCAGCAGCTCAGTAATTCTATTTCTTGTGCATCCATGGGATACAGTGCACTCTGATGGGTCCTATGAGGACATCCTCTCACATACCAGGTTTCTTCCCTCAGTATAACTGACAGAGGCATTGTATGCTCAGTTCAGCTTGAGGTATGTGTGAATCTGACCTGTCTCTGTCAGTATTTATTCAACTCCCCACTGTCTGTTTCTCTGTTAAATAGTTTACCCATCGCCTTTGATTTGCTGGTCATGAAACACAGGTGGAAGAGTTTCTTTCATTGGTCGCTGGTGGCCCTCATACTCTTTCTGGTGAGTTTTCTTTTTTACTTGTTTTGTCCTAAAGTTGTAATGAAAGCAACTTTGATGTGAAAAAAGGAACATTAGGAGTTTATTCTGTTTTTCATTCTCAGGTTTATACTATTAGCATTTTGAGAATGTTTCCAGAGCAAAACTATTTTCTGCTCTGTTTTAGGTGCCTGTGGTGGTCATTGACAGCTACTATTATGGGAAGTTGGTGATTGCACCACTCAACATTGTTTTGTATAATGTCTTTACTCCTCATGGACCTGATCTTTATGGTAAGGCTTCGTGAAATTTGGGCAAGTGTTAGGAGATGGCTTAATTGCCTAAACTTCAACATTTTAATTCAGTTGCCTCATTTCATTACATATAGCAGTTCTTTGCTGATTTTATCTTTTCCTATTTAAAAATGACATCTGAGTATAGCACAATGATGACACATAGCCACTCAAATATTTCTTCTTGATTAATGTGATATTCCAATACTGGCTCTCTATTTTTCCTGTTTGTTGTTTTCACTTTCAGAATTTTGAGGACTCTGGGTATGCTGTGGCTTTTGATGCTTTTTTATTTTTAATTAAAAGTTACTTTTTTCTCTTCTTATTAAAAAATCAGTATGATAGGAGAAGAAAATAAAAGCATAATACTCTCCATATAACTATTACTAACACATGGGAGTATACCCTAGACATTTTTTTGTTTGTTTGTTTGTTTGTTTGTTTTTTTGAGATGGAGTTAGACTCTTGTTGCCCAGGCTTGGAGTGCCATGGCATGATCTTGGCTCATTGCAACCTCCACCTCCCGGGTTCAAGCAATTCTCCTGCCTCAGTCTCCCGAATAGCTGGGGTTACAGCTATTAGCCCGCCACCACGTCTGGCTAATTTTTTTGTATTTTTAGTAGAGACAGAGTTTCTCCATGTTGGCCAGGCTGGTCTTGAACTCCTGACCTCAGGTAATCCACCCGCCTCAGCCTCCCAAAGTGCTGGGATTACAGGCATGAGCCACCATGCCTGGCCCAGACATTTTCTATATATACACACATTTGATGTTACTTTTTCTCTTCCAGATTTGCTTTACTTCAATTCCAGCATTTGGGGAGAAAGTTTGGAAAATCTGTAGACAAAGTTACAGTGAATGGGGCTGGTCTGGGGTCAGCATGGGAGGGTGGGGAAGTTGATGAGCTTAGGGTTAAGAGAAAAAATGGAATGCCTTTAGTCTGGGAATGCAGTCTTCAGTTTACCCCATCTCCACTGCTTCCCTGATGCCTTTCACTCCACCAGCCAGTTTCATTCGGCCTCTGAAGGAATTTGAGTTAGTTACAGTAATTGGGGGATGAGCTAGAGATCTTTTGGATCAAATCAGCAAGGTCAGCAAACATTTCATGAGAGAGGCAGTTTTTTCATTAAAATAATTATAGTTTCTTCGGCCTTAATCTTTTGAGGGTCTTGGAACATTCTGTATAAGTGCTTGCTTTGGGGTTCTGCTATGAAGCAGGTTAAGATTGTGTCTATCTGTACCCCTATCAATTTAAATCTTATCACTAGCCATGTCCATCATTTGCCTGTGCCATTTTGCCAATAGAGCCAACAGATTGAATAAGGAGATTTAAAGAAAGAATATGAATGAGATTTACTTGAGTCTCCTGGAATTTTGGGAATATGATTCTAGATGGCAAGTAATAGGTTAAGATAAGCAGTGCTTTGTTCAGTGGATTGAATTCGCAGACTGCACTATTAGAGAATAATTACTAAGTGAAAGAACTTTAAAAAAGCTCCTTTATGGCTCTAAGACCCCCAGGGATGTGAGAAAAGGCCCCAGTGTTAAGCTTTTGCCTCTAGGTGTCTCCCTTTAGCTAGGGAGAGTTTGCATGTTTGTGGTTGCCTCTTGTTTTAGTTTACCTGTAAAATTTTATTCTATTTCACAAGACAATAAAAGATCTTAGATCTAGATTGCACAGTAGAAATTGTTTCACAGAGAGCCTATTAGTAACACAATATCTACTCTGTATGGGTGAATAAATTGAGTTAATTTATGTTAATTTTGAAAAGTTGACTTCTCCACCTTTATAATGGGTTGCTGATATTCTGACTCCTTATTTGTAAAACGCTTTTGTGAGAGACTTATGAAAGTGACAGATGTTTTTGTATCCCTCTGGATTGATGAATCTCTCTCTCTTTATTTATTTATTTATTTATTTATTTATTTATTTATTTATTTTTGAGACGGAGTTTCACTCTTGTCACTCAGACTGGATGCAGTGGCGTGATCTCTGCTCACTGTAGCCTCCCCTCCTGGGTTCAAGCAATTCTCCTGCCTCAGCCTCCTGAGTATCCGGAATTATAGGTGCCCGCCACCACACCCTTCTAATTTTTGTATTTTTAGTAGAGACCGGGTTTCGCCATGTTGGCCAGGCTGGTTGCCAACTCCTGACCTCAGGTGATCCACCAGTCTCGGCCTCCCAAAGTGCTGGGATTACAAGCATGAGCCACCGTGCCCAGGGATGAAGCTCTTAAATATAGGAATAATCAGGCTGGTAGGGAAAGTAGGAAAGAAGGAATAAATTCTGATTTCAGTTTACAGTGCTAGTTTAACAGTGGGTCATTCAGGAACCCCTGCGGTAGATTTTGAGATCCAGTGGAGCAGTGGCCAGTCTTTCCTGGAACATTGGCATTTGCTGTTCATTTCAGTCAGCGTTTTACTGGGAAAGAGTCCTTGGAACTTCTTTCTGCCTACTCTAATGAACCTGGGATAGCTTCAGTTCAGATTTTGCTATTTTGGATGTATAGAAACTGAGCACTTTCCTGGGGGTAGCAAAAACTTTGTTGAAACAGAGAATTGCCTTACCAACCGTGAATAGGACTGATACAGTGCTGCAGTCAGCCAGACTTCAGAGAGTTGTTTCTTGATGTCAGGATTTGTGTGCCTTTACCTCATCTTTGAATTTGGTAAAAAAAAATTTTGTCTGATTTCCATTCTTTTTTTTTTTTTTGAGACAGAATCTCACTCTGTCACCCAGCCTGGAGTGCAGTGGAGCGATCTCTGCTCACTGCCACCTCTGCCTCCCAGATTCAAGCTATTCACCTGCCTTAGCCTCTTGAGTAGATGGGATACAGGCACCCACCACCATGCCTGGCTAATTTTTGTATTTTTTAGTAGAGATGGGGATTTCACCATGTTGGCCAGGCTGGTCTCAAACTCCTGACCTCAAATGATCCGCCTGCCTCAGCTTCCCAAAGTGCTGGGATTACAGGCATAAGCCACCATGTCCAGCCTGATTTCCATTCTTTTAGAATGTTAACTCCTTTTTGGTTTAGGAGCCCTGCAGAGAGAATACTTCTTCCATCTTAGGAGTAGGAATTCCTTGTATAGTCCAGACTTACAGTAAAGATCTGTCAAGAATAAATTGGGTTACATTAGTGTGTCATTTACTATGGTATCCTAGAATCAGTTTAGTTAGACCTGTTGTGGTGCTAGCTTGAGATTTTCTTGATACCAAATAAGAATACTATAATAGATATAAATAAAATACTTTTTAAATAAAAAAGTACTTCATGATTGTCAGCTAATTTTATTATAATTGGTGAGTCCATTTGTATATATAAAAGCCTTGTGTTTTACTAGATGTTTTGAGGTAGTAAACTTGTCAGACAGCGAAATAGCATCTTTTGTATTGGAAATGCCAGCTCTTTCACTTTATTACATGTTGGGCACTATTTGGCATTGTTTTGGCTGTTTTACAAGAGTCTCCTGCTCCAGCTGCCTCATTAGCTATGTTAAGCACACAGTTTCTTATCTGAAAATTAAAAATGCATTGTGCTGTATACACCATAGAATACTATGCAGCCATAAAAAGGAACAAGATAATGTCCTTTGCAGGGACATGGATGGAACTGAAAGCCATTGTCTTCAGCAAACTAACACAGAAACAGAAAACCAAACACCACATGTTCTCACTTATGAATGGGAGCTGAACGATGAGAACACATGGACACACGGAGGGGAACAACACACACTGGGGCCTGTGGAGGGGGACGGTGGGAGGGAGAGAGGGAGAGAGCATAGGATAATAGCTAATGCATGCTGGGCTTAGTATCTAGGTGATCGGTTGATCTGTGCAGCAAACCACCATGGCTCAAGTTTACCTGTGTAACAAACCTGCACGTCCTGCATGTGTACCCCAGAACTTAAAATAAAAAAAGTTTAAAAACAGGAAAAAAATGCATTGTGCTGATAGTTTTTGCATATATCTCTTAGTGCTATTTCTCATATATAAGAACATACTAAGGCTATTAATATTTCTTGAATGGATGGACAAATGGACTTCAGTTAAAGAAACATTGAAGGTCAGGTGCAGTGACTCAGGCCTGTAATCCCAGCACTTTGGGAGGCCAAGGTGAGTGGATCGCTTGAGGCCAGGAGTTCGAGACCAGCCTGGCCAACATGGTGAAACCCCGTCTCTACTAAAAATACAAAAATTAGCTGGGCGTAGTGGTGCTCGCCTTTAATCCCAGCTACTCGGGAGGCTGAGGCATGTGAATTGCTTGAACCCAGGAGACAGAGGTTGCAGTGAGCCGAAACTGCACCACTGCACTCCAGCCTGGGTGACAGAGTGAGACCCTGTCTCAAAAAAAAAAAAAAAAAAAAAAATTGAATAAATTGCTTTTGAGCATTAATCTTGTGTCCTCATAGTACTTACTGTCTAATTAGGCTGCAGACACACAAACAGATAATTACAGGACAGTGTCTTATGTGCTACAGGGGAAAGATAGGGAATCATAGGAGCAAGAGCAAGTCCCTCTGGTGGTGTCAAGAAAGGTGTGGCTCTTGAACTGAGCCTGGAAGGAAGAGTAGGAGTGTCCTTAGTAAATGCTAGGGGGATACATTTCTGACAAATGGAATGTCAAATATAGGGACTGCTGAGGCAAAAAGATTGAATATTGAGTTCTTTATAAAAACTTGTTTTTACAGCATTGGTTGGATTTTAGGTAGAAACTATTCACACATGAGCAAGATGATTTCAGTCACTCCATTGTGGTTATGATCATATATTTACCCTCTCTGTTGTTCTTGGTTTTCTTTTCTTTTCTTTCTTTTTTTTTTTTTTTTTGAGATGGATTTTCACTCTTGTTGCCCAGGCTAGAGTGCAATGGGGCGACCTCGGCTCCCCGCAACCTCTGCCTCCTGAGTTCAAGCAATTCTCTTGCCTCAGCCTCCCGAGTAGCTGGGATTACAGGCATGGACCACCAGGCCCAGCTAATTTTATATTTTTAGTAGAGAC